CCATATTCCCCAGACACATGTACATAAACTGCCACAACAAAGTTTACTAAATGCTTCAATTTTTTGTGACACTTGGCTATCCAACTGCAAGTTCAAAACACAGTCACATATAACAGAAACCTTTACAGGGTTGCCAGATCTAACAACAAGAAAGAAAAATAGAGGGCAGTCTTAATTTTTTTTTCAATCAACCCTTTTACGGTTTCTATACTGCATGGCATATTATTCAAGATGGCACACATATGTGTCATTGTATTAAGAAATCTGTTTGTAAGCACCAGTATATATTCACAATTACAAAAGCAATTATCATAAACTTCACTTAATTTATAAAATGAATGTGGCATAAACTCAATACTAGCAAAAATTTTATTGTCATCATGCCCAAACTACAAGTTTGCATTTCTTGCTATTTAAATTTATATGCATTTTACAATTAAAAAAAAATTGGTACTAACCTATTAGTCTGTCAACCACAAAAGTTGACAGAGATCCCATGGTAATCACTCTGCAGAATTCTGAGCTTGCAACTCTTACAATAAAATATTCATCAGGTTCCCTGCACAGTCTACCAAATAACTGCTGTTGTGGAAGGATTCAACCCTCTTTGTTTTTGCGGTTCATAAAAAAAGCTTTTAAAGATATCTAATATTTTGTAAACCCTTCCAATTTTACCAGAAGTTTTGATCAGAATGCTATTAGTACACCCGCCCGCAAGGTAACTGTTCCAATTTACTATTGATTTGCTTAGAATTTAAAATCAAATGGAAAAGAAAAACGAAAATATAAAATTTTAAAATCCAGCCTTGCAATCACTTTTTTTTTTTTTTTTTTTTTTTTTTTTTTTCCGAAATACAAGGACAAAATACAGCAATAAAAATTAACCCTCTTAGCATGACCGGCTTTATCCAGTCATGAGATTTTTTTCACTTGGAATATATTACCCTATAATTTAAAGTATTTATAATCTCACTTTCTTTAATAATGTAAATATCTTAATGAATGGAAGTTTATGAACACAGAAACTAAAATAATTATAAAAATTTAGCCAATAGAAGCTGTTTAAATGCAGGTTTTCATAAGCAGATCCAAAATGCCATGCCACTCAGAAGGTTAGTTTGCATTCTTGTTCATAAAAACAAACTATAACTTACTGAAAATCAACTGGAGTAACATCAATGAAAGCAAAGATGTTATGAGTGTGTTGTGATATCATGATTATAAATAATTGGCACTAAATTAGCTACAGTCTGAGATCCGGATTCGTCTGGACTTCGGCAATTCCGGATTCAGGATTTTTCCGGATATTAGATCATCAGTTTATATCTAGTATGATGGCATGTAAAAATTATAAAATTAAAGATATGAAATCGATTTTGTGAAATAATGATGCATTTATGATCTACAGAGTGTCAAAATTTATAAAAAGAGCTTAATATTTATTTGTTTATTTTATTAAACATGTCTTTCAATATAAATCATTTATTTTGCTTCGCTTGTTATGCTAATGCTTTCTCTTTAATTCTATAGACAGACATAATTTCTTGTTCAGTTACAAAGTTCCATTTTGTTAAAAGTCCTGTAAATTGCTGTGTCGAGAATTCCTACTAACTTATCAATCGAAATTTTTTTTGTTTCCAATAACATCTCTATCACTATCTTCACTACCGGTAGCGGTAGCGGTATTTTCTGGATCTAGATTATAGACTTTGCCGTCCATTAATTTATTGATAATTGAATTACTGTCATCACAATGAAAAACTTCTGTTATATCATCTTCATTTATTACCAATTCTAAACATTTCTTTACAAAATACATTAACTGGAAAATTTCACCTTTAGTTTGCAATATTCGTAAACCTTCAAATTTGTGGCTATCACCTTTACCACCCTCACCATGAAATATGGTAGCTGGCCATACATTATCGTATGTACTTTTTAAAGTGTCTAGAGACACATCTTCCCAAGATCTTGCGATGCTCCACACAGCAGATTTTATGCTAAAATATTTCAAAAATTCTTTATCACTCTTGCATAATTCAAGAAATTTAACATGGATTTTAAAACTGCTACTTTATATCTGCATTATAATGTGTGCACTATTACAATACCCATAGGCTGAATGATGGATGTACAATTTGGAGGAAAGAATAGTATTGATGCATTATCTATCACTAAAACTTTAAGTGAAATATGAGCCGTACAGTTGTCTACAACCAGGAGAATTTTTGCATTATCAGGTAAACAATTCAAATGTTGCAAACAATTCAAAATTATTTTCAAATCAATCATTCATTAACACTAATGTCATAAATGCTATTTTATTTTCATTATATATAGTTAGGAAATTCTTTACTCCTTAAATGCTTGAGCTAATGGACATCAAAACATGCTTTTGCTTTGTAAATCTTTTTGCAGCTCCAGAATTAAAAACTCTTTTTGACATAATCAAAAGTTAATTTTTATAAAACTGTTGTAATAATAACAGCCTGGGTCAAGTCAGAAAGTTAAGGAACTGGGCAATATGCTATACAGTCAAAAGTCTTTAATCTGGACTCTCGGGACTTCGGCGATTCCGGATTATACATCATCAATTTAAATCTGGTAAGATGGCATGCAGAAATTATAAAATTAAAAATATGAAACTGTAATTTCTGAAACAGAGAGCAATTAATGATCTAAAGGGTATCAAAATTTACAAAAAAAGAAAAGCTTAATATTTATTTGTTTACTTTATTAAACATTTCTTTCAACATGCGCATGCATAAAGCATACATTACACATAGTCGATATTAGAAAATTGTAACCAGTAAACTATTTGATGTGTATTCGTGATATTTATAATGACAAGGAATTTGATTTAAATCATATGAAAGACGGAGTACATCGAGATGAAATACTACATTTAGTAAGGAATTATAAGCCGAATAAAATAAAAACATCTGCCCTGAAGCTAAGGATAGTGCTAACAGATCAACTTCCAGTTCATTGCGTGCCACGACGTCCCCCCCCCAGCAGAGCAGCGTGAAATTGATAAACAGATTTCGGAATGGTTAGAGAAACAAATCACATCTCTGTCACTTTCTTCATGCCTTTATCCACTTTTTGCAGCAATTCCACTTTTTGTTTGATGGACATGGAAACATGCTTTCGCTCTGTAGATCCTTTGGAAGCTCCAAAATTGGAAATTCTTTTTGACATAATCGAAAGTTCAAGCTTACTTTTTATAAAATTGATCTAACAGTCTGCAAAAAATAATAAGCCGGATCCAATTAGAAGATTAAGGAACAACGCAACCTGCAACATTAAACTAAAATAGATAATTAGATAATTTTAGCCTAGCTTATACCGTCAATTATACGTTAAATGTGCATGCATAAATGTATTATGCGCATGCATTTACGCATGTGCAGAAAGTCCGGATTATAGATCATTCCGGATTAAAGACTTTTGACTGTATTAAGTAAAATTCCTTGGAATCAGTAAAGTATAATTTTAGCCTAGCTTAATAATGTCTGCTATATATTATTGGCAATACATCATGAGATTGTTGATGAAAGACAAGTTGTTCTGCTAAATTTCGTCTTGCTTCTATTGTGCACTAAGACAATTAAGCATCAGTTGTATTCATTATTTATCATACTTATGTCTTTTTTTTGCACATGCTTAAGGATTATTTGGGTCTTGAATAAAATAATTTACACATATACTTAAGACTTATCAAGGGCTGGCGCTAGATAACTTAGTGCCTGATGCAGTCTCCGAGTGTCCTAAATTCCACTACCTAGTGCCTCCCTAAGTTCTAAATTTTTGCCACCCCAAAATTTAGGGTCCCAATGCTTTCCCTAAATTTTAAAAATTTTGTCATTCTTTAATTTTGCTGTTTGGTGCTTTTCTAAATTCCCAAAATTTTGTCTTTTCTAAATTCTGCCACCCGGTGCAGCCATGCAAGCTCTGGAGGCAGTTCTAGGTTTATATGAATAAAAAGTCAGTTATTCTTAATCCAAAAAGCACTAAATATAATCTTTTAATCTATGAGTATCTAGTTTTAATCTCATAGACTGAGTTAAAATCTAGTTTTAGTGTATGAAAAGAAATTTTTGTTCAATTTTTCTTTGTAAACATTTCTTAGCACATTTAACTTAAATCTATAATCACTGCAGCATAATGGCCAACATAAAAAGTTGCCATACTTTTTGCTATTAATTGCTAATATAAAAAACATTATTCAGCATTGTTACATGCGTTATTACTCAAGTTATCATGTGGTGATAAACATGCGATGATAAAAGCAAAATATAATAATAACTGGCCAGGTTGGCATCACGGATATAAAATATTAGTAGTATAAAATCAATGATCTTTCTACATAGAATGTTTCAGTTTGAGATGTTATGCCAAGCAGATACACAGCTACGGAGCCAAATTTTTTATCACACAAATTTAGGCTAAAATGATTGTTTCTTCAATAATGAGGTATTTTATTTAGTGCAGAAGTGAAGTTAAGAATCGGAACTGTTCACATGTTTTATTATTGGGGAGGGGGAATCAAATGTGCATGCTTAGAGCATATCCCCCCTCCAAAAAAAGAGAGAAGGTTGTTGGTGGCTTTGAGGTCCGGATTTTAGATCCATTCCGGATATTGGACGTCTGGATCTCAAACTCTGTACAGCATTTGGTGAGTTTTATAGTTGATGACGTAAAATGTAAGTATCACAAGATTTTACATTCTACTAAAAGAAAAATTATTATTGTATAAAATAATGGTATTGTTCTGTCATCGAGACCAGGTTCAAATATGTATGTATACATACATGCACAAGGTAACCAAAAACGTTCTTGCCGTTTCTGATATGACATTGGAAGAGTGAACCCCAACATAAAAATAGTGACCAAACCTAATAATGAAGTGGTTAGGATGGGAGTCCAGACACTGACCAAGAGTATAAAAGTGTGTTGCATCGGTACTTAAAACATACCTTACACAGCGACTGATTTAAATGGATGCATCAAAGGCGCTCGTTCAGAGTTGTTTGCTGTATGATTTTAAAGTGGGCCTGTCAGCAGAATCAAGTTGCCGAATTTTCCAGGCTTTGGGGGATGATGCCATAAACAGACGAAACACTAGGCAATGGTTCCAAAAGTTCAGGTCAGGGAATCTGTCTCTTAGTGATGCACCAAGCAGCGGTCGGCCACAAGCGCTTCACGATGAGGCCCTGAGTGTCATACAGAGTGACAGTAGCCAAACATGTGGTGAGCTTGCTGCACACTTCCAAGTATTTAATGAAACGATCAGACTCCATTTGCACCCCATAGGAAAGGCATACAAACTGAGCAAGTGGGTACCCCACTCACTATCCGATGCCAACAAGCAACAGCATGTCGCTGCCTGTTTCTCATTGCTTACTCAGCACCGCAATGCATCCATATTTGAATGAGTACTCACCAGTGATGAAACATAGGTCCAGTATGACAGACTCAGGCATTCGAGACATTGGTTGTCACCAAGGGCCCCTGTACCTCACACTGCAAGATCTTCTCTTCACCCATGCAAGATCACGCTCTGCTGTATCTGGTGGACTAGTCGCCAAGTGGTGCATTATGAGCTCCTGCCAGTGGGCCAAACTATCACGGCAGGCCTGTACTTGCAGCTGTTGGAAAGTGTGCATCAGGCACTGATACATAAAGAGCCAGCATTGGTCAATCATAAGGGTGCACTCTTCATGACAATGTGAGGCCGCATGTAGCTTTGGAGGCCAGGGACACCATCCAGTGACTGGGCTGGGAAAAACTACCCCATCTACTATATTTCCCAGACCTTGTCCCAACAGACTACCACCTTTTCCATTCCCTGGACAACCACCTTCAACAACCGGCCAGATTTCGAAAAGGCCCTCATGGACTTCTTTGAGTCCAAGACTCCCAAGTTTTATCATGATGGCATCGCACAGCTAGCCCCTCATTGGCAAAAGGCATGGATGCCGATGGCGATTACTTTGAGGTTAACAGCGATTATTATTTGTTTTATGACTTTTTCTTTCTGACTGTCCAAAATGACAAGAACATTTTGGTTACCTTGTATGTATGATTTGGTTTGGTTGATTATGGCGAAGCCTCAAGGGCTATCTGCCTAAGGGCAGGGATGCTTTCATGAAGGATTTTCTAAGGGAAACTGGTTCGTATACATGTTACACATAGAAAACCATGAAAATGTCCATGTAGCCAGCCCGTTCACGGAATTAGAACCTCAAACTGAACTACCAGTGTTCAGCAACTTTACCACTTGGCCACTGGTGGGTGCATATATGGATGGATGGATGTGTTGATGTATGCAATGCATATGTGTATGTACATATGCATCTGTACATACATACATATACAACTGCACATATACATACACTTCTGAATCCAGTCTTGATAACAGAAGAGTACCAAAATAAAAATTACTACAAAGAAGATGTAATTTGATTCTTCAAAACAAAAAGTATGCACTTTTTCTCTAATACGGTAGAAGTCCAGAAATCCGCAAAGCTTGGAACCAGAGATTGTGCAGATTTTAGGATTTTGCAGATTTCAGGACAGAAAAGATAAAACATAATATTCGGACTAAAGTGCAAAATTAATAAGGCGTATTAGATACATTTAATTAAATTATATATCATTATGCAATTTTATAATATGCATTAAATTATTATTACATATATAAAGTGATTACATTATTCATTGTATTACATGTACACAGCATTGAGGTTTGCTGATTTCACCTCATACAAAGACTTCCGGTTTCAGATTCCGGTGTTAGAATACTGTTGCTGTAAAATTTCAACAGCTTTTCTTTATTTTTCCGTATATCATACACAATTGTGTCGCAATTTCATAATCACTTTGCTATAAATCGAGGAGTACCACCTGCTTCCATCTTTTGCAGAATTTGCACTTTTTTGCATTACCGTCAATGCAATGTGTTTACGTTTTTCAGCATCGCAAGCAGTAAAATTATGAGTGCGTTTTTTATCTGTCATTGTATTAAAAAGGGCTGAAATTTAAAATATTAATTTATCCACAAAATATCAGGATTAAAAAAAAAGGCAGCACTAAACAATCTCGTGAAATAGCAAAGCTCAGAAATTACAACAACGTGAATCATGAACTTGAACGAAGAGTTGAGTGAATCGTTTGCTTTTTTACCTCGATGCAGAGAATTAGGGGAAAAAAACTTTTATCTTATTGTTTTAAACTTTTTTTATGTCAGTAATTTGGTATTTCCGTTATGACTCATCATTATTCGGTAATTATGACATCATTATTCGGTAAGTATTTTTTCTTCGTAAGTATTCGGTAAGTATTTCGCACTCAATGTTGCGGTTTCCAGAATCTATAAACTGAATGTTTATATTTTGAGAGGCAATGCGGATTTCAGGAGTTGGCGGATTTTCGGTATTTGATTGTAGTAATTTTACAGATTGATGTTTTTGGTGTGCTGTCAAAACCACTAATGTGGCTAAATATTTTAATTACCGTAAAAATATTTTAATATTATTAACCTACCTTTATATAAACCATGGCAATAATGAGAAAAATGCAAGGAATGGCACTTAATGCAGTAAAAACTGTTACACGAGGTGGTATACCTTTTCTATCAAGATCCATTATGGCTGAATACAGAGGCTCAGGAATCTAAATAAAAATTTTACAATAATCATCACAAAATCTTATTGGTCTACAACATATGATAACATAATAATTCAACTTAGTAAAAAAACATAACAATTCAATATAATAATAAAAATCCACATAACAAAAAAACTGAATTCAATTAAATCTCAATTTGTAACAATTAAAAAAGTATAATTTATTATTTCATTTATGCCTTCATATCACACATATATGAATGTAACAATAAAGATTTAGAACAGATTTGACTCTTAGAAAGTTTATGGAATATTCTACATTTTAGGCAAAAAAGTAATGATGCTGATCATATTGTAATAAGATACATATTTTAGTTTAATTTTATTTAATAAAACAATCATTATAATTCTTAATCCCCCGTGACTGGTATAGTTGATTATCACAAAGCACATTAGGGCCATCTGGCCAACTAATGCCTTCATGGAGGACTTTCTATGGGAAACTGGTTTGTATATATGTTACACATAAAACAAACCACAAAAACACTCATGCAGCCAGCCCTTTCATCTGGAATTGAACCCAAGTCACAACTATCAGTGTTCAGTGATTTTACTGCTCAGTTGCTAATGGGCCTAGCCCCACATGAATGTAAACTTACAGCACTAATGACAAGCTGTAAAAGTTTTCCTTTCTTTCGTACTTATATAAGACAATTGCAGAAAATGACATCATAATAAAGAAAACTAAACCAAACTGGATGAATTCAATATTTAAAAACAAAACTTGATACTCTTTTGTTATCAGACTGTATTCAAAAATGCATGCATATACTGTACACTGCACAAACGGACCTTTTTCTGAAATAACATACCAATTTTTTCCCATATTTCCAATCTATAACTCAAATTATTCCATACTACCAAGTTTTGTAAAAATCGCAGAAGTAGTTTTTAAAACATTAGCTCTTAAAATTTTAGCTCCTCAAAGTTAATTGAGCTTGGTATATATTTATTAACCTTTTTTTTTTTTTTTTTTTTTTTTTTTTTTCCATTAAACTTACATTCAAGTTTTCTTATAAATTTATTTTTATTAAACTTACATTCAAACACACATTACTTTTATTAAACTTCCTTTCACATTTCAAAATTCATGATCATTCCAAATAAAATTCACCCATTTTTTATGATTTATTTTTAAAATTTATTTTTTAAATGATTTTTACAAATTTTTCCAAAATTTTTTGAATTATAATCCATAAAATTTTTACCGTCATCTTAAAGTAGATGTATTTCTACGCATACCTGCAAAAAATTACAGTTTTTTATTCGAAATTTCATAAGATATATGTGAATTTATATATTAGCTCGTTTTGAAATTTGGCATATTTGTTGAAAGCGATAAAACATAAAATGTGGTGTAGACACTTTGCTAAAATTATTTGAAAGTAGGAATGATATGACTTTTTCCCCTCATGCACAATGTAAAAAGGTAGGAACGAGGTGCCCTTTTTTTCCACTCTGGCATAATGGAAGGGAAAGGAAAATTGGTTGCCATATAAGAAGTTCGCCAAGTGAATTATTCTTGGCGCAACCTGAAAAAATTGTGCCAAGATAAATTTTTGAATTTCTCTAAATTTTGCACCAAATTTTTTACAAAATTTAATATTTAAGCATAATTTGAGTTGTAGAATCAAAATATGGAAAAATATTTGTATGTTATTTCAGAAAAAAGTAAGATTTTGTGTCAAAATACCTATGTTAGAACAATGCTATATATATATGAATATGTATTATATATATATATAGATATATATAATACATATTCTAAGTTGCGCTTTCGAGAAATCAAAAATGCAAGTTGAATTATGTCAATTGGCCCAGTAGAACAGGGAGATATAGGAGTTGTCCCCCCCCTTTTTTTTTTTTTTGCGCAGTGTACATATGTATTCACATATGCGTGTATACATACATTAGTACATATGTTTGTGTGTATATATGCATACTCCTTATATGCACATACACACGTGTAAATACATTCCTGAATGCGGTCCCAATAACAGAAAAGTACCCAAAACTTGCATACAGATAGAGCTTAAATTTATTTTATACTCAACATATAATGATTTAAAGAATGTGAGAAAATAATATTTCAGCTGCTAAAAAATACGATTAATCTTTGGATTATGGTAACTTGGCGATTTTTTGGCGACCAACCCTGCTCAGCAACCTGCTAGTTTTTGTTTGGATGCCATTTTGTTTTTCACAAAGTAAAGGCATTTTTTTTTTTTTAACTCAACATTTTTTTCCAATAATCTGCTAGCCGAATTATGCTTATGCTAGAACTTTTATCGAACAAAAATGCTTAATCATGACAAAGATTAGGGAGCGAAATTGGGAGAAAGTGCAGAATCGCAAACTGCTTGCCGCGTTTTTAAGAATTGCACATACACGGTATCCATGTACACATCGACCCATTTTCACTTAAAAAAACATCCCAGAATTGCACAAAATTGGCATTGCGCACACTCTTGACTTTATCTATGTACACTGCTAAAGTTCTAGCTAGTAACCTTTATTGCCTTACCAAAATGTCGCCAAACTACCTGTTACCATATTCCAAAGATTAGCCAAAAATACCATCAAAATAAATAGGCATTCATGAATAAAGAGCTAAAATATATTAATAAAATACTGTGTGAATAAAAATAGCTTTCACACTGCATGATCAAGAAACAGTAATTTTTACCATTTTCATTCAAAAAAACCAACCTAAAATTCAACAATTATATTCTCATGTCTTCATAAATATTTCTTAGATATACAAGATATCTTTCATTTAACAGTTTTTTTTTAATATATAGGAAACAGAATAAATATAACTTACCCACAACATTAATGCTTCCATAAAAGATCTTAGAGCATTTAATCCATTTTCAAACGTAATATAGATATTGAATTCTGACTGTGTAACATTTTCTTCATTTTCAACCCTACTATCACTATTTTGATCTTCTTGAGCCAAATGTTCACCTTTTAAATTTCTCACCTGGAATGAATTTGGACTTTCATCTGAGCCATTTAAATTAGGACTAGTCAATACATCATTTACTTCTGCGTCATTTTCTATGGGAAAATTTGTTTCATTATTCTCAGTTTTTGTTTCATCAATACTTTCAGTGCTTATAAAATCTTTATCTTCAGTCTCTATTAAAATATCACTAAGAGTATCTTTATCTTCAGTCTCCATTAAAATATCACTAAGAGTATCTTTATCTTCAGTCTCTATTAAAATATCACTAAGAGTATCTTTATCTTCAGTCTTTATTAAAATATCATTATGCATATCTTTGCTATCAGTGAGACTATCTATATCATCAATAGGCATTTCATTATATACTGTTTTAACACTTCCATTTATATTGTGAGCTATTTCATTTACTGTAGAAGTATAAACACTTTTTTCAAAGTACTGTTCTTGACTCTTTTCTTCATCTAGATTATTTACTGTTACATTATGATCTAAATCTGATTTGCTAGTATGTTTTACTACCAAATTCGAACCAATGCCTGAATTTAGAAACACTTCTTCTTTAGAGTCATCATCTATTATGATATCATCAGTGTCAGACTGAGACATGCTTGATTCAACTATCTGTTTCACCTCTGCTTGATTGTCTTCCTTTTGAATATGCTGAGATACATGAATATCTGTTTTAGCCATATATGTAGGATTTGATGTTTTACGAGGTTTGATTACAATAGTCGTCATCTCCTCTTCCTCACTGTCTTCAAAGATTGAGTTCAAAATTGTATCATCAGTCTGTGGATTACGGCTGCTAAGAATCTCAATATCTGAAGTTTTTAGAACAGTTAGTTTTTCTGAAGGTTTTAAATTCTCCTCTATTTTTAAAGTTTTCTCTTCTGAAAAACGTTCAGTCTTAGAATTAATTTCTTTATTATTTTTACTGACAACATTTTTGTTAATGCGAGACTTCTCTAATGCACCTTTAACTTGTTTATTTTTCTGAAATATTTCATTCTGTACATTACTCAGTTTTTCCTTATACACATTATTATCTGATGAAAGAGTTTTATCAGACACTGACTTGAACTCGTTCTCATGTAATGATGAATGTATATGACTGAAAGATTCACCGCCATAATTCATTTCAGATGGCTGTATATCAGAAGGATCATGCAATGGTAAATGAGTCTTAATTTGTTGCTCAGTGACTGTAGCATGTAATACATGACTAGAAAGAGGTTTGACATAATTAAAATCAGCATGCTTAGATTGTTGATCAGCATGAACATTTTGACTGGGATAAGAACTAACACTTTCAGAATACTGTTCTGCATATATATCTGAATCATAAACGCCACGATTTTTTAATATGGACAAAGTTTCTGACAAATCTGAATCAGACCATGTGCTTTCTGGACTATCATATGAAATCTGCTCTGGATCAAAAAACTCTGTTTTCTGTTGTGAATACTGCACAGTATCTGAAATTTTAGATGAATCAGGGTTAATATTTTCTGATGCTATATGACTGGAGAAAAATGTATTTGATTGAATATCTGAATTGTAAAAACTGTCCTCATTCTGAAGGATACTTCGATCATACTGTAATGATTCACTATCATATGTATTCTGTAGATAAGGTGACTGAAGAATATCTTGACTATGAAATGCTGTTTGCTTTATGTTTGGCCTATGGGAAGAAGAGGAGGGTAATATATTGTCCGATGTAAAATGAACATGACTAGATGATGGAAAATTATTTCCAGCCACAGTTTCATCTTCAGATTCTATGAAAAAATCCATATCTGTATCCATATCTGAAGACAGTGACTCAGGAGCTGTGTTAAAACTATTTTGAACAGAACCTAAACAGAAAAAAAGGTTTTAAGGTATAAAAAACATGAACAAAATTAAGTACACAAATACAAAACAAATGAAAACATACATCTAAAAAAAAATTACAATAACTAAATAAAATTCATACAATAGTAAAATGATTTTGACATAGCATATCTGAAGAAGGGTTAAATAAAGCAAGTTTTATCAAGTTGGGGGGGGGAATATCAGAATTTTTACAAAAAGACAAACTTTTACTCCAAAAGCAATATTTTTCAAAGCTTAAATGACGTTATATTTTAATATTATTTTTAGAAAATTAAAATTTCTCCTTTATTTAAAGAAACAAATTACAAAATACCTCATGAATGCATCCGAATCACACAACAGAATTCATACTTTTGCAGTAATATTTGCATGTTAAATAATAGAAGTATTCATGTTGTATCTCATATATATACATCCAGCTTTATATTCACATTGCTCTCAACACAAAAAAGGTACAAATATATGAGATACAGAAGCATTCCACAGATATTGCTATTCATGCACACTGAATAGCAGTGCATAACTAATTCAAAAAAAATTAACTTTTTTTTTAAATTCCAATAATTAACAACTCAAAGGATTTCTTACTCTATATAAAATTACTCATTGTCACCTAAATGAACGAATCATCAAGAATGAAGACAAAAAATCGGCAAGAACAAGCCTATATGTAGAACCAATTAACTAATTCTCCAGATAAATCAATGCTTTTAAACTATCTAGACGCACTGTGATGGACAATCACAGAGTATACTTCCTTCTTTACAACAGGCAGGATTGAATACACATCATGGTATTTATGAGGACAGCATAAAATGATCCCTGAGGTATGTGGTACCTCAAAGATATCATTCTATACAGTTGATGGCAGAATTGTAATAAAATGTGTTAAATATTTGAAGAACTATATTTCAAGCATGTTTGATAAGCAATAGCTTTTTAGCAATGTTACCTCAAATATGCAACTGGATAATTGCAACATGGAGCTCATTCCGTAAAACATTAGGTTATAAACTGCAAAATTTTGTTTTTCTCACTCCTTAATATCACAGATCATTGAACAGAAAGACAGCATTTTGCATTAAAAAATCATTTAATGTGCTGTTCAAGATTTCCACTAGGCATAACTAGAATTTATAGCACATTAGAATTTATATGGAGGTTAAGAGTGTTACACATCATAATACCATACTATAGCAATTAATGTTTCAGCTTATACTTAAATCTTTAGAACTTTGATTATCAGTAACCTGCAGTAAGAAATCACTCAGGGTAACAGGAATGAAAGGCATTGTTCTCCCCAAAACATCAAGTGATATCTTTTATCATGCCACTGTTTTCACTTTTCGCAGATAAAGAACAACTGGGAACTTTTTGCAGATAAGGAATACAAAATCAAAAGCTTCATAAATGATAATTCCCCTTGAACAACAATCTTTCCCATATTACACATCCTGCCTCTTTCTCATAAACATTATTATAAAATTACAGGGGAAATGTTTTTAAAATAAATTTTTATCTTTAAAAATTGACTAAAATTGTTAATTTTTTAAATTATCAAACTAATTTTACAAGCTATTTTAAAAAATGACACTTTAATTTAAATCATTTCTCTGTAGTTCAAATATTCTCAAAGCATCATTGGTACATTTTGATATTACTCTTACAAAAAGGTCTGAAAATAAGCCATAAAGCATTCATGAAGCAAAGTAGTTATGTTTCAAAAATAGTCATATGGCTATAAAGTCATCAAAAAGGATTTATGTGCATATAGCCAGAGATGGATTAATTATTAAGCAATATAAGCATGTGCTTAGGGCATCAAGGAAAGAATGTACTGCAAAAAGGTCCTTAGGAATTCAGGAAAAGGAGCATAAAAAATTCACATTGCCGGTTTTACATGTATGGTGCACCTAAACCAAAATTGAGAGAGAGAGAGGAATGAAGGAAACGCTGGCATAAACATAATTGGGACAACAAAATCTTTTAAGTGCTTGGGGCCTCTAAACCTCTTAATCCAGCCCCGCACATAGCATGTATTTGTTTTGACTGCAGCTCAGTGCTGAAGTTGTATAATGTTGGGTTTATGCTATTCTCTAATGTTTTTAAAGTGAAACAAATTAATGTGTACATAAGGAGAACACCAATATAAAAAAGAAACCCAGGTATGCACACAGCCTATGTTTGTTTTGGCCTGTAGACAATCAAGTTGTATAATGCCCAGTTTGTATAATTCTCATTCTTTAAGGAAAAACATACTACTGTGTACATGAAAAGAACAACAGTGCAAAAAAGGAAAATTTCTCAAAAAAGCTATTTTTTTTTTTTTTTTTTTTTTCTGCATCACATTTTGGAAATGGCCTCCTCTCACTTGACAAAAAATTAGTCAACATGCAAGGTCTAGTTTTCTTAGCTATCATAAAATGTAATCTATCTAATATCTATCTAAGTGTTAATCCTTGTGAATTCCTCCACAGACTTAAAGAAGAACACAACCAGAGGAAGGGTGTAAAAGATCCTTTTATTGAACACACAATATTTAATAGATAGCACCAACTTACGTGCTTACAGAAACAAGAGTAGTGTAAGATTACACAATTAAATTTAAGCTAACATGTTAACTCAGAAACCTACGTCTGCAAGATAATAACTCGGCGGCAAGAATGTATAGCCAATATTAAGCTTAACAGCTGGAAGAAAGTACCAACATGCACTCACAATAGTGAAATCATTCTCTGTCTAAATCTTTTACTTCAACAGTATAAAATACTCTTGTTCACCGTAACTCATTTACATCCTTGGAAGGAAATGTGAGGAGAATAAGAGAATTCAGGAAAGGCTTACAAAATAAAATAACTGTTAGTAAAAATAAATAAAACCCTATAAACAATACGTTCATGAATATTCTCCAAAGTCATGAAAGAGTTTAACTTTTCATTAGAAGTGCAGATAATCAGAAAGCACCAAATCATTACATATATATACTTACTAAAATCACTTGAATAACTGTTCCCAGAGGTGTGCAAACTAAAATCATTTACAGATGCTTTCAACTGAGTACCATACATAGACTGAGTTTCTTTATTCAAATGCGCTTGACCAGTCACTGCACTGGAGCTATCACTTGTGTGCGAATTTTTAAACTGAAATATAAATAACAAATTAATTAAGATGAAAATAATCACTCGTAAATCTTCCACCTCAACAAGAAAGATTAAAAATTCTTCTACTACGCATCACTTTTTAGCTGTAACTTTACTGGTAATTTTCCATTTTTAATTTTTTTTAAAATTTTTGACTCATTAGTCTATTTAGTAAGTACATAATCATATGCGACATGTGACGGAGGACATGGGCACCATCTCTCTGCCAATTGGTTAATTCGTATAGCGCCACGTCCACCTTTATCTAGAGTTTGGCCAGAATTATTAGTTGCAATACAGGGCCAAACAAGGGCATAATGATACATTTGGATGCACATTTTACAGAGTTTGTGAACACAGATTACACTGAAAATTTAAGTACATTTGGTTACATTTTACATACATTATATACAAATCTAAGATATTTATATCATATACACTGCTTTCGTGTGCATTTACTTATTAGGTTCATTAAATGGTGCTTTTTACATTTAATACAAGGTCTATTCAGAAAGTATTGAATCTTTGATTACTGAGGGCAAGATTTCCCATGGTTCAGTAAATTTTGAGAAAAGATTTGGCCAAGCACAGAACGTCTGCAAAATCTGTATTAAAGCAACAACAGTGAAGTAGAAGAAATTTGTGTTTTGTGGGTATTATTAAAACAAAGTGCAGTCATCATAGGAAAAACAACTTTTCAGCCCTGAGATGCATAAAAGTAGAATAACTGTTCAACAAAATCATGTAAATTTTCTTTTATCTCTTTTGTGATGGTGCATCATCAATACACCATGACTAGAAGGGACAAGTCAATGACCAGATGGTCTTCTGTTATTTCTGTGCTGTGAGATGCAGTACCAGTGGCAGTGTCTACTGCCAGCACTCGGTAAGGTATTGGAAAGAGTAATTCTTTACAGATTGGACTTCTTCCTGCAAAGGAACAACGCCCTGCATCCCAACCAATATGGATTCCGAATGGGCAACTCAACTGAACATGCCATAAAAGACTTAATGGCCACTATCAAACAGAACAAGGATAACAATTCGCACTCACTGGCAATAGCCATTGACATCAAGGGAGCCTTTGATTCTCCCTTTGGTGGCCAGACGTAATACATTTGCTGCACAACATGGCGTGCCTCAACAGCCATTATTACCATCCTTTGCTCGTACCTTCAAGATCGAAGTGTACAAGTAACATCAGACAGCGGCATTTATGTCAAAAATGTCTTTAGAGGATGCCCACAGGGGTCATGCCTTGGACCAACACTGTGGAATATAGTGGCAAACTCGGCATTTCATCAGTTTGAGAGTGTAGAATACGCTCGAATCATAGCCTATGTGGACGATTTTATGCTAGTTGTGGCAGGAAGGAGTAACCTCAAAATGAGATCTCAATACTGTCTTGATCTGTTCTCCCAATGGGCCAGAGCACATAAGCTTCAGATTTCGGCAGAGAAAACTAAAGCTTTGCTCATAGGACGCAGCAGGCAGCTAAGACGCAACCCAAGCATTAAACTCCATGGGATACCGGTAAAATGTTTCCCCCAATTGAAATATCTTGGGCTATCACTCGACAACAGACTTTCTTGGACGCCACATGTCAGGAATCTTAAGACTCGAATTAGCATCCTAAGCAACAACATGAGACGCATGACTTCACATAAATGGGGTATCTCATCTAAGCTACTAAAAATTTGGCATAGAACCAATTACAGAAAGAGTAATAACTTATGGAGCAGCCAATCCTGGGATGGCGAACTTACCTCTCATATGTGAAAAGATCCCTGCTCTCTATTCAGAGACAGCAGCTACTTCAAGTATGCAGGGCCTACCGTACCACGTCAACACTAGCCCTACAACAACTAGCAGGAATTCCTCTCCTAGATTTGATAGTAGAAAGGGAGGCAGCTATCGTAAGGGTTACTAGGCTGGGTCAAACTTCAACACTCTGGGGTCATAGTTATCACCACTCGGACTACGAGGAGCAAAACAACTGCAATAACTTTCATCCAGCAGCTTTTAATCTCTCTGACGGTATCAGCATAAACGACCAACCAATTCAGAGGTACAGTAATAACCTTTTCATGATAGCTCCAAAACTGAAGAACGGCACGGGCAGCGCCTTCTGTAGACTAGAAAATGGAGTTGTAAACATTCGAGTGGAAAAGGAAATTAGGCTCAAACAACCCAGTATACCAAGCAGAGCTTCTATCTATCAGTGCTGCAATTAGATATGCGAACACATGTCAACAGGAGAAATTCTCCATACTCAGTGATTCGGCATCAAGTCTGGCGGCTATCGCAAGTCAAAACAGCCAGAGTCCATTGGTATACAGAATTCAGAAATAGCTTCTGACAATGCCTATTTCGCAAAGACCCACTTTAAAATGGGTTCCCGCTCACAGAGGGATTCAAGGCAATGATGCCGCTGACCTACTGGCCAAGCAGGCAGCCAACTGCACGGATATATTAGAAAGACCAACTAAACTTCCTTGGTCTCATATTAAGCGAACAACTTTGACAAGTCTGCTACAAAATTGGCAAAGTAGATGGACAGAGGCAGAGGTAGGACGAAGGACATTTCGCTTACTGCCAAAAGTTAACATGGAAATAAAGACCCACTGTGCTAGCCTAACACAGTTCTTGATAGGTCATGGACCATTCCCAGTATACCTGAACAGATTCAGACTTAGGGACACTCCTTTCTGCGAATGCGGAGAGGAAGGCGACACGGACCATTATTACTTCCATTGTGTACATACAAGAACCTGGCACTTGAAGAAACCAGCGGACTGTGCCTGGGCAATGTGGACAACTAACACACTCAAAAACAGAATAGCCCTTGATAAAATAGAGAAAATCTCAGGACACTGCCTAAGCAGAAACAACCGTGGATAATATTATAATGTTTCAAAAGTTCAGAACTTAAAGCAGATAACCAGAATAACGCTTAATGCATTGCAGTTAACAATATGTAAAAACTGTTATTAGTTTATAATATTCAACCTTGTTACTCTGGAATCTTCCCTGCTGTGATGGTATATAATTCCGTTTGGTTCATGTCCGTGGTCGGAAGCCATCATAGCGGTGCACTCACTCACTCACCAGTGGCAGTGAAAATTTGACAACTGCATAGCAACAATAAATCTGCTCATTTTTTGCGTATGGTTTCCTGGTGTTCTCAGGCTTTCACGCAAGCACAAATTATTCAGTTTTATCAGGGTCTCTTATCTATTAACATGACTACTACTTTTTAACTACTTCTAAATTCGAAATGTCGTTTAAAAGAGACATTTGAAATATAAGACGACATCACAGAGAATGCAGTGGCCCACCTACAAATTGAAAAGGTATTCCAGACATGCTTCCAACTTAGGAGCTGCAATCTTCTCGCAGCAGCTGCTTAAAAAAAAAAAAAAAAAAAAAAAAAACTTTAAAAAGGATTAGATATCGTACTTTGAAGTGAGTAACTGTGTTTTTTCCAGCCAAAGCTTGGTTAATTTTCAATAAATCTTATATATGTGACTACAAGGTGACACATCAACACCTTTTCAATAACATTTAAAATCAAATGGAACAGAAAAACAGAAATGTAAAATTTTAAATGAGGCTAAAAAGCAACTTTATTTTGGTACAGATTTTGAATAAAATTCTTTGAATTTTGTGGGAAGACACAATTCTGTCTTCTTTATATTCTTCCACTTTGCACAGATATTTTTTACTTCTAAAAAAAAGGCACCAGTGTCTTAGTGCCTTTGAAGTCAACAGTTTTATTAAAAATCTATGCTAATATGCTAAAAATAAGACTCTTGTTTAATTTTAAACATTTAAAACATTTAATTGGTATTTCAGAAAATATTTGATATTTTTATATAATTTCTTACTTAACCAAAATTTGTATTTGATCAACCATCTCATCATTTTAGCTCATTCAGAATTTATCACAATACAGTTAGTTCACTTAAGTTTGTGCTATGCCATCCCTTCATCATGGGAAGTACAATAAATCTTTCAAATGATTTCAATTAAATTAGGCAAAATTTAATGCAATACCATTACTCTGGTCATTCTGTCAGTTCAAAACAAATGAAAATCTGACTTCACTCATAGATTGACTACAAGGGCTCTAAGCAGGTGAAAGAAAATTCAGAAAATAGTTAACCAGAAACAACATTCCATGCTTAATTAACAGCTTTATACGAAAATAAAGTTGGAAATTTTTTAAGGGAATTTATATACAGATTTCTACAATCAAATATGAATAATTCACCATTTGAATTGAATAGAACTCAGTTTTTAATTTCTCATAACCCATCAAGTCCCTAACACATATAAATAATTTTTATTACCTAGTTGAAGTAAATAAAATTATCTTTCCATATGGTAAAATACTTAAGGCTTTGAATTATTATATAGTCTAGAACAGCAGTTCTCAACCTTTTGACTAACACATACCACTTAAACAAAAATTGAAAACCTTGAGTATCAGTACTACTACCACCACCATTCTTGAACAAAGTTCAGTTCGCATAAATTTATGAGTCTTAGAGAAAAAACTCAATCAGGATGTGTTGAGATGTTTATAATCGCATTCTTGTTGGTTAATAGAAGTACAGCTTTCTGTCACGTTCGATATATTCATTAGCTTTCAGCCAGGTCCGAGTTATTCTGAAACTTAATCCCATTCTGTATGTTACTTTTGATTGGTTATTTATTGTGTCTTGTTTATGATTTGTTAAACCATGATGTGTTGCAAAGTTATATATATGACCTCTGTAACCGCTTATCGCTGCTTAGTATTATTCTGCTTGTACTTACTTATCTGTGCTTGTGCTTACCTCTGCTTGCTTGTATGTCCTGGCATGTAACTCTGCGTGTATCTCTGCATATCTCAGTAATAAATATTTGTTTTGCGAACCACGGCATTTTCTATGTTTAACAGCAGACCGTGGTTCCTTCAAAAGTTAGAATTCGCTGATAGTCCCCTAATTGAAACC